AGCCTTGTGCAATATGCAGGATGTTTTTCTGAATATTCTGGTACAAGTTTTATTGTATAATTCAATATGGTTGAATTGTTTAATTCATTTTTATGGTAATTTTAATTTATTTTTCTATCTAGAAATTAAGGCTTGTGCAACATAAAGGGCACACATTCATGCCTATCTGACCTTTTTTTGGCCCAAAGTATAACAGGAACAAAGAGTTTATTGGTTTGAAATCGAATGTCTGTCTAATGAATGTCAAACGTCAATCTAACTTTACTGCGGTAGCCCAACACTTTCAGCTTATGGCCTTTAATTCAACATTTTGATCTATGTAAAAAGCACTACTTTACATTTTTTAATTGATGCAACCAAAAATATCTGTGACAAAATTTGGTAAATTTATTTTTAATCATTTGATCTTTGTGCCTTGCGTTTAAAGACGTTTGTCTATTGCTTTCCATATGCTGAGGTCAGGGGCGGACTGGGACAAAATTTCAGCCCTGAGGTATGCATTCAGATCACATGATGGATCTGGTAATTAACACAGTATTGTTTTTGTGTGCACTAACTGTGTTTTGCACTACTTATACTGTGCGGATACCCAGATAAACTTAAAACCCGTAGGGATACTTTGAATTTGAGAGATGGCAGATTTGTGTCTGGTCTCCACTATCTGTAGGATCAGTGCAAACCATTAATCTCGGCTCTATTCAGTGCACTCAGATGATTTTTTTTTTTTCAGAATTTTCTGGAAATGATTCACCATTGAATCTCCATGGAAGGAAAAATCCTGTCTGGGTTTCCATTTTAATATACGCATCTGACGCAAAATGCATTTTTGGGAATGCAAAAGCAGACGCCAGAATCAAAAGCCGTAAATGATGATCAACTGCATGTCAGCGTTTTTTCTTTGTGAAGCGTTCCAGTGCAGATGGTCTGGATTTAAGAAAGTTATGATTTCTGTTTATCTCTCCACGTTGTCTGCGATCATCCCGCTTACTGCATAATAAAACTTGCTGCTCATATTTTATGGAAATGCACTTATTCAGACATCATAATATCCCCTGGGGTTTGACAGATCTCAAAACACAAATGTTTGTGCTTTTATCTGTCAGGCTTCTGTCTGGTTCACATTTGACTGAAATGCCTTTTCAGAATTTTGATACGGTTTCATCCCAAGCTCATTATAGGATGATTTAGAATGTGTCACATTAGCCCTAGGACAACCAGAAGAGGTCACTGTCATGTCGGATCTCCAGCCACGCATCTCCAGAACAACTGCAGAGTCCTTAATGCGCAAATTCTTGCACTGTATTGCATGTATTTTCATGCATGTGCGGTATATGTCATACATTGTAATATATTTATCTTTCTCTCATAGACTCAAGACAATGAAAAACAGTCAGAGGGTCGAAGGCTGCTCTCTAATTTGCATATTTCCACATAGTTCTCCAAACTCCATCACTTCACGTTAGTTAAGTCAAATGACTTGACCGAGAACAAACACAGGAATGAGCTGATTTCCTGGAACTGCACTTCAGTGTTGAGAAAGTTATGATTTATTAAGCCACTGTTTAGCTCGACTGACCTGTTTCACATGCCAACTATGTCATTCACTGGTCAGAGCTTTAAAAAAAAATCATATTAGCTGCTCTGAATGTATGTGTTTTTTTCAGTCTATAATTATTCAACATAAGAGGTGCCAGCAAAGGCTCATTCTGAAAACGTAGCCTTATATACATTTCTAAGGATTGCAAATTATGTAGCCAAAAGTATGTATGGCTGCATTTCATCTTTGAAACAAACGATACGGGGCGGTATGCTCCATTCCTTTTTGCGCTTACCAGCTGACGGCTTTCTCAGAGTCAACTTTACTATCCCGTTTAAGGAAACTAAAATTGCAGCAAGGTGCTATAAGCAGGTGAAGTTCCATGTACACATTAACAAAATATTGCCACACAACATACAATACATCATTTTTAGATACATCTCCCTCCCTGCTGGACTCATTTAATGACCTAATGGCCATCATTCATTCATTCATTCATTCATTTTCAACCACTTTTCTGGGGCCGGGTCGTGGGGGAAGCAGTCTTAGGAGAGAACCCAAGACTTCCTTCTTCCCACTTCCCACACGTCCTGAATGATTCTGAGTCATTCACAGGCCAGCCAAGAGACATAGTCCCTCCAGGATGTCCTGGGTCTTCCCCGAGGCCTCCTCCCATTGGGACATGCCTGGAACACCTCCCTAGGTAGGTGTCCAGGAGGCATCCGAAACAGATGTCCGAGACTCCTCAGCTGACTTCTCTCAATGTGGAGATTCAGCTGAACAACTCCGAGCTCCTTCCGGGTGACAGAGCTCCTCACCCTAAGGGTGCGCCCTGCCACCCTGCGAAGGAAACTCATTTCAGCTGCTTGTATCCAAGATCTTGTCCTTTCGGTCTTGACCCAGAGCTCATATAGGTAAGAGTAGGAACGTAGATTGACCAGTAAATCAAGAGCTTTGCCTTTTAGCTCAGCTCTGCAGAACGATACATCGACTGCATTACTGCTGCCGCTGCACCAATCCGCCTGTCATTGTCACGTTCCATCCTTCCCTAACTCGTGAACAAAACCTCAAGATACTTGAACTCCTCCACCTGGGGTAAGGACTTTCCTCCAACCTGGAGATGGCAAACCACCTTTTTCCGGTGGAGCTGTCATAATAAAAGAATTTCTAATTCTGTTTGTCATGCAAATAAGAAGTCTAAAATGATGTCCTGATGGCAGCGGCTGAAACATCAAGTACAATGGATGATCCGGGGTGCATAAGATACCCTGAGCTTTTTTAAAACATAGATACAGTAAATTACCATTGGACAAGCTTTGGTTAAAACCAATGATCTTCCCTGCCACCTTCACAAGGCTACTCAACCTGTTCCTATTTGACAGACTCAGATTACCGTACTAAGCTACAATCCAGAAAGATAAAACAGGTTCAATACCTTTGTTACCTTTAGATGGACGGCTTTCCAGCTGTTACCAGTTTGTCTAGCTCGCCATGTACATTGACGAACTTGAGACGCAGTGAGGAGTTAACCACGATGACTGTGTTCGAGTCTGGCGAGGAACAGTTTCTAGAGTGCAGATAAGAAAAAAACTGAAGCCAGAAAAAAAAAATAAGCAAGTAAATAACAGGATGAGAACATGGTCAAATCTGAAAACATGGTAAAATCAGGCGGGGGCTTTTCTTTTTCTCAATTGTTTTGTTTGGTTGGGTTTAGGTAATGGATGGGTGCTGGTCAATCTTTGCTTTTGAAAACATTATTGGTTGGGTTTATGGCAAAAGGAGGGTGGGCCAGTCAGTCATTCAGTCAGTCAAACAGTCAGTCGACAGCAGCCTCTGGTGGATTTATGTTAGAACAGCAGGCACGAATGGCACTTGCAAGAGAGAATTTGAGATCTGAAAAAGCATACACAGCGGCCTCTGGTGGATTCGCGAAAACAAAAACTGCAAAAAACGTAACTCCTGGGACATATTTGGTGCTCTCCAGAAATGTATTTCGCAGTACATATTCATAATAAGCCTGGGTTGACAGGTGCATGAGCTTATCAAGTGTAAAACAAATAATCACTGTGTGGACATTCAGTTCACAATAAAAAAGTTTAATAAGCACAAATAAGTGCATAAAAAAATAAATGTGTTACCTGTACTCTTACATGTACCACTCTATTCAAAAACAACAACCTCCATATATGGAAAGCACATTGCTCATGTGCACGGTCGCTTTGTCAATTTAAACCTTGTGGTTTGACATTAAAAGAAAAACATTTGTAAGTTCACCCACAAGCCTTCCTCTTTAAAGCCCAAAGTACACTTCCTATTGTGTTTGTATACTCTGGTCTGCGTACACTGCATGACTTTCTAGTGTTGTGTCAAGCAAGCGCTATCAAATGGAGTAGGCTATACTTAGACTAATCAGCAAGTTATTTGATTTAATTTAAAAAGTGAAAAGATTATCACATTTTCCTGTTAGGATGCAAGAATTGCTTTACAGTTACAGTACATCTTATTTTCACAGTCATTTCCGTGCTTGTTACATAAGCGTCCTTCTTTTTGGAATGGATAATTAATGCATTCTGCTTTTCATACCCAAACAAGCAAATATTTAAGGTTGTTGTTTGTCATTTCAAAAGCCTATAAATTCTCCCATTGAGGCACTGTTATTTTGTATAAACTCAAGTTAAGGCAGGCGGTTCATTCCGCTGTGGCGACCCCTAAAGGAATGAAAAATGAAGTTAAGGCAGGTTACACATTTTAAATACCAATTTAATCTATCTATCTATCTATCTATCTATCTATCTATCTATCTATCTATCTATCTATCTATCTATCTATCTATCTATCTATCTATCTATCTATCTATCTATCTATCTATCTATCTATCTATCTATCTATCTTTCTACCTTCAACAGAATATAATAGAATATAGTATCTAATAGATTTACTGTTTAAATGCTGCAGCAGTTGGTTTAAATGTAGCTGAAAAGCTTATAAAGGCACAGCATCTATTGGGACAACTTAAACTGGAGCATGGTGTCTCAAATGATCAATGTGTTCAATGACCTCCATGTTTTTCCATGTTCAATCGCTTTTAAAAGTGGTACAACTAGCCCTGTTTAGCTCATAATCAGCAAGATAACCCCGATTTGAGTGACCTCAAAGCAGATGATGAATTCCAGTTTAATATCCATCCAAGAGCTGGCAGTGTGTATGATGTGTGCATAAGGCGCATCTGATGCTCCAGAGGAGGAGGAACGGAATCAACAGCCTCCCCTCAGCGCGCGCTCAACGCTACTGTACTGCAAACCGCATATGATTTTTTGCGCGCTCAGAAGTGTTTTCACCGGACGTCTTGATACATGTTCCGTGTTTTCTTTTGTCCTCCGGCATGACTTCTCTTTCCTGATGTAGAGGACTGACTGGAACTTAAAATAACGAGGTATTATTTATGAAAGCAGCAGGAAATGAACATGAGCCTCGTCAACTGTTTGGTTCTTCTTATAGTTTGGCACGCGCACTCGGTAAGTAATCAACCCTGCACCGGTAGTTATGAGTTCTTCAGCCTCAGGTGTGCGCTTTTAAACTCTCACTATGTTGTATTTCAGCAAATGAGAGATTTTAAAAGAACAATTCAATTATAACAACCGTAAGTTTTCTCTAGTTTTGGTTTTGTATGGTGGTTTCACACAGTTAATATATCTTAATGATACAAAAAAGATAGTAAATGTACTGTAGCGCGTTTCAGTTGGTTTTGTTTTCGATATTCCTGACACTTTCAGTGATAGACGGCAATAACTCAAAAACCTCTTACCCTAAAAACACCTCAAGTGTGTTTCCTACAAAAAGACAAAGCTGGCATATTTTAGCAAAAACTGCTAAGTGACTCAGGGAACAATGTAAAACCTAAATCGTGCTAAAACCTAAACTTTTATCAACTATAAATGTTACCTTGGGTCATGTAAAGTGGTGCCATATTTTATGATATTGATAGCTAATTTATTTAAAGGATCTTATAAATCTGTTTATTGAGTTTAAAATAAATTAAAAATTTGATCGAATATTTGCGAAGTTACAAATTAATCAACACAAATCAGCACATGTCTATATCTAGATAGTCATAGCTTGTATTATTGTATTGTATAATATATTATTATTGGTGCAAGGTTGTCTAAAAGCTCTTCACTGAGATCTGCTTGAACCAACCAAACTGACCATAATTACCAGCTTGTTGAAGATAGAAACAATGTCAAAGGCAGTTATCACAAAAAAACTCTTTATGTATATTTGATATTTTTCTGTTTCTATCTTGTCCTTCGTAAGTTGTTTATCTCTTAAGAAGCTTAAATGAGGCTGTTTAAATGTCAAGCCACACTGTGTCTATAGTATGTATCCATTGAAGCACTCATAGTTAATGGGGCATGTTGTTACATATTGGATTTTATCTTTTCCTTTACTCTTGAGCACTATATTGCATTTTCTCTAAACTTTTTTATGTTTGTGCACATATATTATATACTTAAAGTGTTTTTCGAGTAAAAAATGTGATAGGAAGCCATGCTCTCTTTACTTAAAAGGGTTTATTTTCCAACCATAAAAATGTTATTTACAGAGCAAGCTGACAATTAGTGTTAAAATGTATTGATCTTTGAGAAGACCAATATTCAGTCTTGCTAAAAGGTGACATAACCTAATCTAATGCACTTTTAGGTAATACTTTAGTTTAGGTCACAATTCAAGGTATTGACAAACCATTAAATCTTTAACTGCCCCACCAAAAAAAAAAAAAAAAAAGGATTGCATTTTTAAACTCCTAATGTCGCGAGTTAACACTCTCAATGCATTTTTTTCAACACTTGCCGTAATTTCTAAAATATCAACCATTTGGTTGAGGTTGATATGTCGGTTTATGTTAAACGTTCCGAAATTAATTTTTATACTGTCAAATGAAAAATCTGAAAAGGGCAATTTATAAAAAAAATGTATAAATAAAATCAAAATGAAACATTTCTGGATACTAAATCATATTCATTTTAGAAGTAGGCCATCAAATATTTCATTTAACATGTTATCTTGTTTTTTTTTTTGTTTTTTTTAACAATAAAACCAAAATCAAGTGTAATGCAACAGGATTATGTTTGTTTGATTTTCTTGTAAACCAACAATACTGTGTGTGTAAACCATTTATTTTGGACTTTCTTTAAATGACTTTAACAGTCATTATTTAAAACAGTCAAAACATGGTCAACTATTTTGTAGAGCAGGTAGTTAAAGGGTTAACTTACACTAGCTTAATAAGCTACTTATTAACTGTTTATTAATAGTTAGTAAGGTAATAGTTGAGTTTAGGTATTGGGTGGGATAAGGGATATATAATTATATCATACTTTCTAAATACTAATGAACAGTTAATATCTTAATATTAGGCAGGTAATAAGCTAGTAATAGCATGAATTTTGACCTGAACTAAAGTGTTACCCACTTTTATGATTATAAAGCCTATAAACTCTCATAATGCTCCAATTTTGCATGCACAGCAAAAAAGGCAGTAAATGTGCTTTCTAAATATAGTATTTTAATACAATATTCAGGTATATGTATTCCTTATGTAATACAGTTTTCAATGAACAAATGAATGCAGATTAAAATAATTTTGTGAAACCGTACAGTAGAATTTTAAACATTAAATTTTGTCGGAGCAGATTACAAATTGCATGAGATTTTTTATTGTTAATCCTACAATTTATTAAAATCTATTTCAGTATGCGGATCGCTGATCAAAAATGTGTTCTTTTCGGCCAAGGTCAAAGATAAATATTTTAGATACTGCAGGGAAAGCGATGCACCATAAATAAACTTATATAATCTATTGTTTACAAGCTCCGCTGTTAATCTCGTTTGAATAAGCCAAAGCTTATCTATTCAAAAGTCCATTACTCAATTACTTATCTTTTAGATCACAGAGCATCTCTTTATGGCCTTAATTAAAGTGCAACTCTCTGGGTCCATATGGCTGCATCTCCCCCGAGGCATAGAAACATCGTGTAACAGACAAACTCCAGAATTTTCCATTTGTATCATATATCTGTTTGGTCTGTCTCCTGTATGGATTTTGAATCCGAGATTACTTTCTTTGATGTTTTCCACTCAGTCTTTGTCATAGATTAGCGCTGAGAATGAGTTTCAGTGTAATTCTTTTATATTTATGATCAAACTGCATTTTTCTACTACTTTTTAAATTTCCAATGACTTGTAGAGCTCATGCAATATCTGCCCCCAAATGTCCCTAAAACTAGGTTTTCAATCCGCGGATCAAAAGGTTTCATCAGATACTGAAGACATATTACACAGAGATCCCATCAAAGCTCCCAGGAGGAAGTTGTGTGTGGTTGTGCTCAATCCATTCAATCCCGGACCAATTTCATGCAGCAACATTTAATGTCATTTTTTATTTAGCTACTCCTCGTCCTCCTGGGAATTGGTGGTATTGTGTTGTATTGTATTTCTGTGACAGGCATTTGTGGGGCTAGAAAACCATGTTTTAGTGGCTTTTTTCTTTTAACAATAACAAAATCCTACCTTCAGTACAGGACAAATAGAAAAAAAGTGACTAAATATATTTATATTCCTTTGTTCCTGGCGGGCCGCAGCTCTGCACAGTTTTGCTCTAACCTTAATCAAATACAGCTGATCCATGATCTAATCAAGATCTGCTTCCCAAATGGCACACTATGCACTATGCACTTATGCACTTACACACTCAACAGCATAGTATATATGTAGTGTTGTCCCAAATGGAACACTAATGCTTTTTTACTTAGCGGGAATTCAAACCGGTTGCCAAATTAGTGAAATAAATGACCAAACTACCAAATAATACTGTACCTGCTTTGAGTATAACTAAATTCACCATCGGTGCTATATTCACTCACGTTGGAGAATTTACCTTTAACAATCCGACATTATTAAAGTAACCCAACATAAGTGGCAGAAAGCTCCACTCCACTATGTGAGCAAAGCATCTGCCGTTGAGTGTGTGAAGTGTCCAACTTTTCACACTTCATTTTACTGGTTGAATATGTGCTCATCCGGGTAATTAAAGTGCACTTATTCTTTTTAGTGTTTTCAGTGTGAACGCACTACTTACACTATTTATACAACAAATTGCGTAAAATAGTGCATAAGGATGCGATTTAGGACACACCTGGTTCGGATCCGGCATGTTACCAGAGGAGGGAGAAGGAGTGGTTGAAAGGTAAAGGGGGGTGGGGGGGTGGGGGGGTGATAGATGAAAGACGAAAGTGAAGAGTGGGGGAGAGATGTCGCGGACAAAAGTGAGGAGGATTGGGGAGTCTCAGAAGAAAGCTAAGAGCGTGTGAGGAGGGGGATTGGTAAAATTAAGCCCTACTTATTCTACTCCATTTAGTATAAACATACCTGGCAACACAACTGTTTTTTCCAGAGAGTCTCCCGTATTTCAGACCCATCTCATGTTCTGTTCTGTCTCAACCCCGGATCGCCAACCTTGGTGTAATATACGATCGCAGCAGCTGCCTGAAACTTGGTAGATAGTACAGACCAGGGGACCACAACATCCCCCCCCCCCCCCCCCACCCTCCTCTTCGTCAGTTAGCGACACTCCCTATCCCCCGCCCCACCTCCCCTCTCCCACTTTCTCTGCATGTCACATAGACAAACACCCCCCAACCCCACCCCCCCACCCCAAATCAATGGTCTCCCGGATTTTCTGATGCAAATGTTGGCAGGTATGAGTTTAAGTAGTGCATTCACACTGAAATCACTGAACAGAATAAGTGCACTTTAAATACCGGATGATGTGCTTATTCAACCAATAAAATAAAGTGTGGATTGTTGGACATCTCACGCACTCACCAGCTGCTGCTTTGCTCACGTAGTTGAAGGGCTGTTGGATTATTTCTTTTGGATTGTAAAAGCAAAATTCTACCACAAGAACGACTATACGGCCTCCTGATGGTAAATGCGGTTATACTCATGACAGGTATTATTTGGTTGTTTGGACATTTATTTCACATATTTGGCAACCGTCATACGTCACCAGGGAAACGGTTCAAATTAAAAAAAGCTTTTAAAGTGTTCCATTTGGGACAACACTACATTCATATACTATGCTGTTGAGGGTGTAAGCGCAAAAGTACATAGTGGATAAGAGCATAGTGTATAGTGTGTCAGCTCTTTTTTAGTTGTATTACATTGATTAGTTGCATCAGCTGTGTTTGATCAGGGTTGGAGCAAAACTCGAAATATGCCAGAAATTTACCTATATTCACACATTTGCAGTGACTTTGTATGTAGTATATGAATACTCAGTTTTGGTGTGATGCCATCATTAGTTTTCTAATTGAGACATCATCACTTTAAATCAGTGTTCACCAAACTTGTTCCTGGAGGGCCGGTGTCCTGCAGATTTTAGCTCCAACCCTAATCAAACACACCATAACAAGCTAATCAAGGTCTTACTAGGTATACTTGAAATATCCAGGCA